CCAATCACAGCCCGACACGTGTGAAGTTTACGTACTACGGCTGTTTGAAAGATTTTCTTCCATAAAATTAATCGATTCTAGAAAAATAAAGGCGCACATGAAGATGTTGTATGTATAAAAATAAGAGTTTACATTCCACGTACAGTTATTTTTAATGATATAATTGTTGATTTTCCAGTAATATAGTATAAATTCTTTCCCTCTAGAATTATATGCAAATGCTTAAATAGTTTGAATGTTAAAAGTTTGACGTTTGCAAAAAAAAAAAAACTATTGTCGTAATAAATTATTGATCTCGTCCATTCTCAATAAATTTTCTAAGAATTGTGGTAGCAAGAAGCAGCATTGTTTATATGTATGAAGTTCCTACTAGTAGTTCAATTTCCCATTTTTATTGACAAGTAACACTCAAAATTCTTAAGCAGAAGAGGTCAAAAATGCTAATCTTACAGAAAATGTCACAAGTGTGCATCTTGCCATAAATACCACCTACGTGCAACTCAGAAGGAATTTTGCAGTTGGTGCACGAGGTCCTTCAAACTCACAGGATAGCAATTCAATCTCCGAATTACTTCCAATAAAATTTTTCCACAAATAAATTCTCTGCTTCTGTTTAATGACCTTTGAATATTTTTTATCAAACCACTTAAGGAATCTCTATTTCACATAGTTCTAGTTCATTTAACACAACTAAATTCTGGTAAAAAGAAAATTCTATATCCTGACTGGGAATTTAATGACTTCGATATCTTTAGGTGACAATCAAAAAGAGGATAATTAAAAATTGATTTTGGCGCAGGATTTTTACACACATACCTAATGCATTCGTTATCTTATTTCCCATTGCATGCATTCAATAACCAATCTTTTAAATGGCATGTTTATAATAAAAGAAATGAAATTGTACAACAAAAATGTAATAATAATAAAATTGGTTGTGTTTATAATTCTAATATGTAAAAATATACAACTGTTTAGAAATAAAATAACTATTGGTGGATTAACTTGTGACAATGTAACAGTTTCAATTTAATGCAGTCAAATTATTTATTTGTTCACAAAATTTACAAAACTACACTTTAATCAAAACAAAAAAACTTTTTGTATTTTCTTGTATTTTATCATATTCCTGAGTGGGCAGAACTGCATTAAATGAAATCATTTCTACAGAAATTAAATCATAAATTACAATTTGTGTTAAAGCTTTCATCATAAATAATTAAAATTTGTTTTAAATATAATTCAACCGTTGAGAAATTGCTGCACTTATTTTAAAAAGCTTGTTCCCATAGTAAATGATACTTATGGTGATATATCTTTTTCTTTTGGAGTTTTCACATAATCCTGTTTTGCCTATTCTATACACTAAGTAGATTCGGCTTTTTTCCTCTCTTTTGAGCAATATAAACATATGTATGTCTCGTAACAAACTTATGTACACAACTGTTTATTTAACACTATCCGAAATGTAGTCGTTTCCATTGGTGGATAGCACTTGAGATTGCGGGTCATCCTCGACGCTTTCTGGAAGATCAACGCAGCTTTCCAGATTTTCACACAGGCGCTGACGATTTATCCTTGGCATGTCAGAATTCTGAAGTTCTCCTATCCTCGAGGTCTCTTCAGCAGTATCCAGCACATCCGAAGCAGGCTCTTCAGAACAAAATGGATTACTGTCGGTCTTGTCTGCCGCAGTCTCTGGCACCAGCATGGGCATGCGACTGGCAATGTTCTCTGCCACTTTTTGCCTCTCTCTGCGAGTTGGTGTTGAGGCTTTACTTTCTAAATAGAATAAAATCAAAATGTATAAAGGACATCAAAACAAAAATTTATTTTTATTGCTTACCTGCAATTTTTAATTTTTGTTGTAATTCCAAAATATACACTTCTTGTTGTTCCCATATTTTCTGAAGAGTAGCTATTTTTGAATCTTTAGCCTGCGAATAAATTAGCATATTGCAAAATTATCTTACACAAAACTACTAATTAAAATTGTACAGTGTACTTACATTTAAAATGTCCTGATGACATGACTTGGTCATTTCTAAAAGTTGTTTCTGTTCTGCCATAATTGTATTCTAAAAAAGGGAAAGGTTAATATAGCAACATTAAATAACTTCTAAGGTTTCTAGTCAAAAGAATTTGAGCTTACATTGTTAGCAATGGCAGTTTCTAATTGTGCATTTTTTGATTGATAATCTTCTAGAAGAATTGTTTTGGCTTCTAGTTTCTGTTTAAGTGCTAGAAAAACACACATTCATTGTCAAAGTGAATGTATAAATTAATTATACAAATATCTTTCATATCTGAATAAAAGCAGTCTAATGAAATTTTATATTAGATATACATAAGTTTCATGTAATGATAAAATCTAGAATAATACAAGTAATTTGAACATAAATATAAAAGTAAATTCTTAGTACAGTCAACCCCCCTATAACGCGGTAGATACGTTCCGCTTTATAAGAATTTTGCGTTGTAGGAATTCTCAAATACATGAGCCAATCACAGCCCGGCACGTGTGCAGTTTACGGACTATGGCTATTTGAAAGATTTTCTTCCATAAAATTAATCGATTCTAGACTAATTTCACTCAACATTTCCAAAACACGTATAATTTTTTGGGAATAATCTGTATAAACTATGCTATAAACAAAAAATTGTAGGATTACTTACTGAGTGTGCACCATTTGACCACGCCATTGCTTAAGCTTGTTTTCGTCACGGAGCAGCGAAAAATGATAAGTTATTTTTCTGCGAAAAATTTGTTGAACTTTGGAGACATCATTATTAGAAATAATTTTTATGACCGTTGAATAAGAAATGTTTTTTTCACAAGAAATGTATAAAATTACAGTACTGTATTAGACTTACAGTACCTAATTTAGGCCTATATACTGTACAGACGATAGTAAACTCAACTTACCCACCTAAACTCTCTGTAGCATGTAAGTAGTTCGGCTGCTCGTCCACTATTGGTCCAGATTCGACCAATCCTGTTGCAACACGAGTCGGTGATGACGTTTTACCGCATTTTACAAGTCTCTTTTAGCATCTTTATATGAATATGGTCTCAATTTTTTTGCCGCGATATACGAATCTGCATTATACGAACCTGTGTTATAGGGGGGGGGTCTACTGTATATCTTTCTTACACTACAGGAACACTAGTAAATACAAATAGAGTCAATCTTTCTATACGTGCTCTTTCCTAGCAAAAAATAAATTTTAAAAATTTACATAAACTAAACTGTTGTTCTTAACTTTATTGTTTTACAATTTCTGATATCCTGATTCCAGAAGGCTACTTTTAAGAAAACAAATTCACACATTTGTAGGCAGCAAAAGCCTGTAAAGATCAACTTCACTTATGCTATTGATTCTGCAGTGTGAAAAGGAACATAAGATTAATTTGAAAACAAATACAAAAATATCTTTAACATAATTTACATATAGTGATTTGCCATTCATCAGTTTTAATAACAAAAGGACATCCATAAAACAAAGTGCATTAATTTTGATCATTTATTCCATCAATGTATTTGTATTCTATTTCAACTAACTTTATTAATCATAACAAGAATAAAGTGTATTTGTGTTATGTGATAAATAATCAGTCAGTCCCCAACCTCCAGACAGGACCATTCACATGCATGATCAAAACTCATGCATTAAAAATGTTTTCAAGTTCAAACAAACAACTGCACTCTGTAATTGCACAATACAACAATTAAATGAAGTTTGCATCATCAGTGTCTGAAGAGCAAAAACAAAACTAGTATTCTACAGAATTTATATTATAACAATAATATATAAAAAGTAGCAATTTCTGTGTAAAGTTGATTTTATTTTTTATTGTAATACTTCTCCAGTACAATTTTCAATTTCTTTGAATGTAGGTGTTATCTGCACTTCATAAATCTTTATTAATAAATAAACATACTGAGTGTTAGTAGGTGATACCTTAACTTCCTTCTACTATTTAGATACTACAGATTCAAACTGTTATGACTGAAGGCCCAGGACTGAATCCAGATGGGCAAAAATCCACAGGATGGAAACAACAAAGAAAAAATTAAACAATACTGCATTATATTATAGTATCTACATGCAGCAAACGATTTAAATGTATGTATTTGTATGTGATATAATGTAGGTTTATGCATAATTTTGGAAACTATCCGATCAATTATATTTAACTTAAAATGGAAGTCCTAGAACAGTTGTTAGTCAGATGCTATTTATATACTGATTTTGTTGATTAAAGAAAAAAAAAATTAAATGTTTAGTCAGAAAAGTAATTATACCTATAAAACAAATGATAAAAATCCAATTTTGATATAAAACTAAGTAACAAAATACTAATTTCTTTAGTTTTTAGTAGTATATATTTTACACTATACTAGAATTAATTATCTTGCTTGCATGTCCAGTTTACAGTGGGTACGAGATTTAAACTTCAATTCATTTCTAAATTGTTTAAAATTGTTAATAGATGACAATGCTAACTATATTAAGCATAAATTCTAATCATTAATTTCTGTTTAGCCTAAATAAATTTGTAAAGAATTTGGTACCTAACAGCTATTTCATTCAACAGAAATTCATTCCTATGAGAATTGAATATCAAGATTAAGGTTTACAATTGGCACTGTATACAATGTGTTGAAAGATTAGTTTCCAATTAAAAATATAGTTGCCTGAAATAAAGTATATGCAGTTTAATGATGGGGATATATTCCAAGAAATGTCATAAAACAAACATTATAGTATAATTAGATAAACCTTATATGGTGTAGTCTACTACTCATATAGGCTTTGTGTAATATGTATAAGTATTTATGTATTTAAATAAAAAAGTTACAGGTAGCTACAAATTTCTCAGCTCAATTACAATCTTTTGAGATTTCCATCATTACATGACACACATCTGTAAAAGATTTTTGGCATTCAAATATGATTCCTTACATTCTAAACATTCTATTTATCTAAACAATTAGATGCTTTTATTCTTTTTCAAACAAACTAACTTTATTCTCGGAACCACAATCAAAATTACTTTATATTTTCTTATATATATATAACCTTAAAATAAAAATTAAGATCAATGCTAGTCCATTCACTGTTGGTTTTTCCATAACTGAGTGAAAGAGTGACTGGCTACATAGCCTTAATGCGCTAACATATGTCATTGATAAATCAAATCATTGCAAAAAATAAATATAATAATTTCCTTTAGGAAACTGACTTGCATTTATTTTGACTTTCTTGAAGTTATATTTAAAGAATAAAAATAAACTTTATTGTTTCCATTAGAATATAATTAAATTTTCATGAAAAATCTGAGCTTTTTCAAAACTTTCAAAAATTCTCTGTATTAATATTATAATATTACTTTATAAAAGATTAGCTTTCCTTCCACCTGTTTTTGATAATTATCTAAACAGAATTTCATAAGATCATTAAATTATTTTCCAATTGTGCAGCTGATTATAAAATTTCAGTGTGTAGTAAAACCTGTTTAAATGGAATGTAACAGTACCAGCCAGAATTTTCTATTTTGGCATGTTTTCTGTGTTATAAAGAGAGATGTTTTTTATTAATATAGAAAAAGAGGATATTAACAATTGTAAAGTTAAACTAACATAAAACTTAGAATTTTTATTCAAAAATTACTCATACATTACAATAGTAGTTAGTCTTAAAAATTAATTTTTGTTGTTATTCTTCAAGTTAATAATACAGTACTGAATTTTGATTATTCTCAGAATTTTCTCATTTGGCATTTGTTGTTTTCATTTGTCTAGCTAAGCCTAAGAATGCACATGCAATTTAGTCTCAAAAATGAAAGGCACAGTTTTTAATATGAATGTCCACACAAGCTGTCAAATAATCACAGCAATTAAAAAAAAAATGAATGAGACCTAATTTTAGCCTAGGAATTCACGGTGATTTTCTGTTGTGCGACTAAAACTTGCAAGTGTGTTCTTAGGCTAATAAGAACTGTGAGAAGCATTTCATCCTAAAGTATTTGCTGTAATTTGATAAGTTTTATTTATGAAAGAATGTAAAGACATCAAATTAATTTTATTTTTATAACTGCTTTTAAAACTTTTACTGTATGTTGCTCTTTCCAAACATAATGTGTACTTTTTAATATTCTATATTCCCAAAGAGTGAGTTAATTATAGGCTTACCATAGTATACTGTTTTGAGCAGGACATTGTACATTGTTTTGCTCTGTCCCAGCTATTCTGCCATTCTAGCAAAATTTTCACTTTTTGTCTGTTTTTGAAATAAAAAGTTAGCACTCTAGTTTATTTATTAAACACATTTGTATATTGTATTTTAAGCTTGTGATTTTGTCAAAATGTTTATTCTGTATTGACAAGGGTCATAAATTGGAATGTATGCTGCTGAATAAGATGCCTGAATGGCAAGAAATACAAAATAGTTTCATTGAATTTACAAAACACGTTACACAAACATAACACATGAAATTCAATTATTTGATTGATGGACACTAATAAAGTCAATAATAAAAATCATTTTTAGAAACGGAATGAAGAAAAATTCAATATAGCTGACAGACGATGGGTAAACCATACAGTTGAACCTGTATCTCAAAATTTATTTTTTTCCCTGCATTTTCAGTCTAAATTCATTATATTTTTCATGTTTATATCAAATAATTTTCTCCCAAAACCTGTTTATCTCAAATTATGGACTAAAGTGTCAATTACAATTCCAAAGCTTGGCAACTACCTTTTGATAGCATAAATTGTAGTTGAGAAACATCTCTTGCTATACATACAGTACATAGAAATAAGACTGATTGGCTATAAATTTGATTTGGCTTGTTTGTTTACAGCAGGGGTCGCCAAAGTGGTCGATATCGACCCCCAGGGGTCAATGCAACATCATTGGGGGGTCGACGCGGCTAAGGGGTCGATGCTGCTAAGGGGTCACAACCTTTTTTTTTTTTTTTGCTTATACAGAGATCACAACGTTTTTTTTGCTCATACACTTACACTTGTAATAAAACTTTACGGTGGGGTCAATGTGAGGTTTTGGAAAGTGGTTGGGGGTCGACGGTTAGAAAAGTTTGGCGACCCCTGGTTTACAGCAACTTGACATATAGACAATCTGCTGAGGGGTTGGTGTCTCCGTGTCTCCTAGGAAAACTTTCTACGGGAAACTGGCTCCTATTTAGGTGTTACAAATATGAAGAAAACCCAGAAAACTCCAAATAGCCAGTCTGCTGGTGAGGCAAACTCATGACCAACTGCCAGTGTTCAGTGGTTTTTATCCACTCTGCCACTGGTGGGCTAAGGCTGTGAGTTTTGCTTGTTCTAATTGGTTGAAGAAAGGCATTAGAAACTATTGACAAGCAATTTGTGTTAAGGTATGCCAAAAATGTTTTATTTATACCAAATATAGATATGTGCTGTACTTGCTATTGTATTAATAAAATACTGTACCACAAATAAAGCCTACTACAGTTTACCGTGTAGGAGTTACTATACCTCAAAACCTGTATCTAAAATTTTTTTTCTCGTTTCTGTGAGATTTGAGATACAGATTCAACTGTATTTAATGAAATGCACAAAAATGATCTTGAATTCCAGGATTTTAATCAATTGATTGAATTAGTCCTTTATTTTTCAGAACTACAGCTTCAGCAGAAAGAATATTTTCACTTGCAAATTTTCTATGGTCAAAAGAGAATTAGGAATTAAATATTGAAGCCATAAAAGTAACACTAATTATAAGACTAAGCAATAATGTTTTAAGTGACTTACAATGCAATAAGTTTTATGATAAAATTGCTAAAACTTAGAATAAGTTCTGGTTACTAGCAATTTAAAGTTTAAAAAGTTAAAATTTAGTTGCTGGTTATACTAAAAAAATCCACTTTACTCAGATTATATTATGCAATTGGTACCCAAAAATTTTCCTTCTCCATGTTACAGGTTTTATAATAGTATTTTATATAGCAAATTGTACTATTCCAAGATTTATTTTCTGTTTAGGCAGGTTTCCATTTTGTAGACTGTCCATTTTAGACAGATTTTAGTGTATAAGGTTGTTTAAAATATCTAAATATATAAAATTACTTGTTCTGACTGACTGATTGATTCATCATCACCCAGAGCAAACCACTGAACCTAAAGAGGTGAAATTTTGTATACCATTAGGGTACGTCATGAAAATGCACACTAAGAAGGGATTTTTCAAAATTTCCCCTGCAGGGGAGAGGGAGAGGATTAAGGCTTAACCCAAAAAACGGCTTCTACTGTACTATTTTAGATGCAATTTTTTGTTTTCAACTACATTTAGTCTTCATTCAGTACTTAGGTGTATTAAATTGATAACATTTCAGACATTGTTATAAATATTTTTATATACAGTAGAGCATCGATTATCTGACCCCCGATTAACCGTCACGTCGGTTAACCGACCGTTCTAGTCAGCAAATTCAAATGTCCGCTAGTGATGTGGCGCTACAACATTTGGCAACTTTTTGGCTACAACATATGTCTTGGCTACTTTAATAGTATTTTTACGTGTTTTAGCTGGCAACATGGCTCGACCATGAAAGGGAGCCAGTATTTAAACGAGGCTTAATTTTCTAATTTTTAATGATACAATAGCAACAATTATTATTTTAAAAAAATTTTTGTTAGGCTTAACATCAATGAAAATTCAACGCGAAGTAGGTTAATAGCGATATACTAATATACTAATTACATGAGATATACTAATAATGTATTTTTTCATATTTTTTGGTTATCCGTTTTTTCAGTTATCTGACCAACCCCAGTCCCCAACTGAGTCGGATAATCGATGCTCTACTGTACTTTGATTTTTTAACCAAATGTTCGAACCGTTTTAAATTCGAATTTGTTATTGCATATTGGTTTATTTATAGAATGATTGTAAATGTTCCAGAAAATTGATCAAATTGAAAATAGTTTGTTTGATTCTCAGAGGTATATAACAATTACAACAGTTGTTGAAATACTGAATATAAATGGGGTTTGCTTGCAAAATCTGCAGGTGCAAAGTTGTGAGTAACAGCTAGTTATTATATACTTCAAAATTATAAACCAAAATTTTATGTATGAAAATATTTTTTGCATACCAGATATTTCAGATAGAGCAGATGCTTTCCACATTGCATCTTCAGCAGCAATTACTGGAGATGGTTGTAAGCTCTCAATCCTTTCTCTGAAGTGTTGATTCATTTCTCCCAGCAAAACAACCTGTTTTGACAGCCATTTTGCCTCCTCTTCTAATTTTTGACATCTATTTACTTGTCTGAATGCAGAATCTAACTCTAATTTTGTTTCTGTTAACTGACTGTAAACTTTTCTTAATTCCTAAAAATTACATAAAAAATTTTTCTAAAGTTATAAAATATCAAGCGAAACAAAACAGAATCTTTTTCTTACACATCGTAAAACTTCATTTTCTTGCTTCTGTTGGATTAATTGCTCATCTATTTTAGAATTTATTTCTTTTAAAGCTATATTATTGTGTGTCAATTCCCTAATATAAAACAAAATTATTCAATAAAGATTAATATTTTAGTTTAGTTTAGTGTATTCAAAGATTTTGTTAGAAATTTTCAAAAAAATGTTAATAAAAAAAGCAATCAACAATCACCTGAGTCTTTTATTTAGTTCTTCAAACTTTTGTTCTTTTGCATCTTGTTGTTTAAGATACAAATTGGACAATTTATTAATCTCATTTTCTAGATCTTGGATTTTTCTTTCTTGCAACTGAAGTTGGTCTTTCTTTACAAAAGTAAACATTCAGAATTTCTGTATTAACTGTACTATGTGAATTTATTAAAATTATAATTAAAAAGTTACCATTGCCCCATTTTGTTCTTCTAACATCCACGCTCTCTTGGCCTTTCCCAGGAGTCTTCTATTACGTTCAGCATGAATCTCTCTCTTGTTTCTTTCAAACAGTAATTGGTTATGTAATAATAAAACTTGTCCCCGTAAGATACGTAATACATCAGCTGGGGGTTGACCTTTTATATATGATAAATTAAAATCATCAATTTTTTAAAAATTTATTAAGACATTATACAACTTCTTACCTCCAAAATGTGTCCAATCAGTGCCAATGGTGCTCGTTAATGGGACATTTAGTTCTTTCATATAGACATCATTTCCTAATTGTAAATGACGATCTAATATTTCAGGAGGTGAAAGAGTAGTGTAGAAAGGTCTTTCTCCATAAAACTGCCTACCTTCTACCTGGCCCATCATAGTCTTAGGTTTCTGAATAAAAATATTTTCTGTATACTCTCTTACATACATAGGTTGGGAATAGCTTAGACCTTCTAAAGCAAAAGGAAACAAATGACTATAAGGAGGTGATGATATAGTAACTGTAGTATTTTCACAACTAGTTTGGCTAGAGGATTTAGTATTCTGTACAGGAATAAATGAATATGCATTTTTTTCTTCTATTTTAGTAATATTTTCAGATATATCATTTATAGGCTTACTTAAATATGAATTATCTGTTGTATTAAACAGAGTTGTATCTTGTACTGAATTTTTGTTGTGAATAAACTGAGTTACATTATCAATAGATTTCTTTAAATAAGGTTTGTCAATAACTTGAGATCCAATATTTTCTTGCTGTATTATATTATAAAAACTAGAGTTTTTACTACTATTTTCTTTTTTTCTAATTAGCTGCTGTAATTCTCGTATATCTGGACAGGAGAGAAATTTCTTTTTTGTTTGATGATTAAATTCAAATTCATTGAAAATTTCTATTGGTGGTGGGCCGTGATGACTGAGAAAGCGGAGACGATTGGCATTTCTAACAAATTTTTGCATATTTACACCATCTTTGACATTAGTTTCTACTTCCTCCTCTTGCGATTGGTTACTCAGATGAGTATTATCTGAGGTGGATAATTCACAGGGAGTCTGGGGTTCATCTGTAAGTTTTTGAGTTGTACTGAAAAATGGGGTATCGTGGCCCACATCCTCATTGCATGATGGATATTGATATTTTGAATTTGACACTATTGCCAAAACTTCTTCATCGATAATTTCTGAAAATTAAAATTAAATATTTACTAATTTACTTACGAAGACAGAAATCTCACTAACTTAACATTTTAATATCAAGACAGAAATTAAAATAAGATACTTGCCTTCCTCTCTTGCTTCTTCTGCTTGACTAACATCAGGCAAACTGGATTTTGAACTATCTGCATTTGGTGTCAGCTGTTCTTCGGACTGACTATTATCCATAGAATTTATTTCTATATTCACATCAACTTCTTCGGAACTGCCAGTAATAGAGTTAACTGACACTAGAAAACAAAACAGAGAATAATTAAATGACAATTAAATTTTTTATCCTATTTTATAATAGTGATTACCATTTCCTTGATTTTTTCTAGATGAAGCTTCTAAAGAATCAATCATAGAAGCTTCCTAAAAATAAAATGCTTAAAATTATATATTAAAAACAACAAATTTAAATCAAATTTTAATAATATTTTACCTCTGGTTTGGCTTCTATGGCAACATCTAAAGGTGGACTTTCTCCTACTTTGGTTGCAGATGGCAGAGTGACTAGTCCTTCAAAGTTAAAAAAAAAAAATTCTAAAATCATTCAAAATTTGGAGAAAAAGATAATTGCAAGGAATTTCTCTGAAGAATATTTACAATAATTATATATTGCAGATTATGCCAACTGCTATAAAAATACCAATTAACAGATTATGCCAACAGCTAGAAAAATACCAATATTCTTTAAAGTTAGTTTATACATCACCAACACATGTTGGTGATGTATAAGCTAACATTAAAGAATAAATTCAAAGATTAATTATGTAGATGTCTTCTATGTAAGGATTGTTGGTTTAATAAAATGGAGTTTGAGATATGTTTCCAACTTCTCTGCAGTAACTAAACAATTGGTTTAGTTAGATCAGCAATTCCCAACTTGTGTTCAATGTAACACTAGAGCCCTTCCAATAAAATTAGTTTTTGAGCTTTAATTAATCATTTATATTTTAATAAATTTTTCATTCATATTTTAAAGTTTCAAAAATTATTAATATTCTGTAGGAAAAAGAGATCTAAGCACAGGCACCGCTCAGCTCACATTTGTGAAAAATAAAATCCATTGAGTCTAATGGTCAAAGAATCAAATCATATATTTCATTCTTTCCCGAGTATTTTGATTTTTATATTTGAAAATTAAAGTATTCATTCTTATCAAAGGAACTGATACCTAAGGCTGGCAATACTTGAGTGTTCACTTAATGATTAAAAAAAATGCACGCATTCGATTGTCCCATTAGTTGAGATCCTACGCATCTGCAGATAGAATCCTTTAAAAACTTTTTATCAACTTGAAAAAAGTTCCATGATTGAAATAAGTTGAGAATTGCTGAGTTACATATATTTAAATAAAATTTTTAACTGCTTTATCTCATTCACATCAAAGAAGGATCAACATATTTTCTAACTCTCAACAAATTTAAGGCAGGATTTTGATGCTGAACTTGAATACACTGAAATCCATATAAGACTGTAATGCATTTAGAATTCATATGACTGAGATGAATTGTGATGTGTAAATGCATTTCATTCTAAACTGAATATTGTTTTGTTTCCTGTATAATCTAAATTTTATCTTATGAAATTGTTTATTTAAAATGCAATAGCTATGATCTACTATTTTATAAATTATTATTTTACATACGTAATTTAAAATAAATCATTAAATTAAGAAAGTAAAATTATAAAATAAAAATTTCTTTCTATAAATTAATTGATTAATTTTAATAATAAATCCAAACTTTATTAAAAATTCAGTTATAAAGAACCAAACAATTAACTCTCAAATTTTCTTATTACAATAAAGAAATTTATTTTAAATAAGAAAAAATAAATAAATAAAAAGTTTTGTTTTAATAAATTTTTAAAAATTAATTAAACAACAAAATTTATTTCTATTACTTTAAAACAACGATTTTCATTTTCTATATTCATACTTTAGGTTATAATTACTCTTCTTGTTTTAAAAACAAGTGAACAAAAGTATGTTAAATAGGAACCAAAACAATCTATATTTAGAGCTAATTTATTTTCAACTTCTGCTTCTCAGATGTGTTTGAGATAAAGAGAATAGAATAATTATTCTCTCACACTTAGTTTTATGTTACGTAATTACAAAAATAAATTTTGGAAACATCATCATTTTGGAAAATTTTATTAAAAATGATATTTTTAATAAAATTTTATCAAAAATGTCTTATATTTATTATTTTATAAATTAAGTTCAGGCAGCATAAAATAAAAAAAATATATATATTCTAAAACTGCTCTTCAGAATAAGCATTTTTAGTTCATCTTAGCACACACAGTCTTGGTGCCATCAATGATATAAACTTAATATTTATAGAAATTAGTAGATAATTTTTTTAATATAAATTTGCTATAGAAATTCATAAAATACTGTTTTAAGATTAATTATTCATACTAAATTTTAGGATTGATTAAAAATTAAAATTTTTATGAAGAAAACTTTCTATGGAGGTGAATAGTTATAGGATATGTTCATAAAGTCGAATGACTTAAACGAAAATAACATCATTTTCTTATTTTGTTACACTTTGTGAACGATTCATTTATAACTAAATGGCTGTTTCTAAAATTGAAGATATGAATGTTGCTAAAGCAGCCTTATCCAAAATATTTTTCTTAGATTGCTAAGGGTGGACAGTTATTCCTATCATTTCACCTTTTAATTCACAGTTTAAACACTCGAGTAGATTTAGAAACATCAATATTGTTGGCCGCCATTTTCTTAATGAAGTGAACTAACTTTTCCTTTCTAACAAAGTTTACAAAGGAAGAGTTAGTTCACTTCATTAAGAAACATCATCACTGCAGAGTATTCTGACTGAGCAAGACTACTACTTTTAGAATGATTCATTACTAACACGTTTAACTTTAAGCACACTTTTCATAATTGCTTTTTTCCACTGTTTGCAGGATAGTGCTTTCCTGGATTTCAGAAATTAGTCATAGTGTGGAATACTGCCTTTTCCAAGAAACTTCACATTTTATTTCTTGATAATATTAAAAATCTTTGCTATTTTTGAGTTAAAATGTCATATGTTACCAATCATCTAGAAGAGTTATTTACTAAACAATAAAATTAAATCAATATACTCCTATTATTTTGTAACTAATAGCTATCAAGCAATTTCCTATGGGAAGATACTGAATAACTGTTCAATTCCCATTATTTATGGTTATAAATAATAAATGATTTAGTCATAATCAAAGTTAAATTCTGCCATTTCTATGTGTAAAAATTATGAACAAAAGATGAGAGAGTTTTAAATAATAGGCAGAAAACTTAACTGATAAGGTTTTTCTATAATCAAAGCTTATTACCTAGATTTGGATTAAATGAGATTAGATTTGGAAACTTCCTCACACCAACTAAGGATCAAAAAAGTACTATTGCATTTCTTAAATGTTTAAAAATCATTTCATATTTTCCAGAATATGTTTTTGATTGATTATGCAAAGTTAAGTGCAATAAAAGTGATTTATGATGTTAAAATATGTGTACAGTACTTATTTTAACACAGGATATAGAGTAAAATATTTAACTAACATCATGTTAAAAATTAGCATGCATAGTAAAATATTGCAATCAATACATTAAAAATTTTTATTCAAATGCAACAATGAAACTTTATTCACAAAAATATACTGTTGTGTTTTTCAAAATTATAATAAATTAAAAATTAGGTAATTTCATAATTTTTATCCCACTTGACTGTATGAAATCAAAATTTATTTATTTTTTTATATCTTCATATATNACAATAGCAACAATTATTATTTTAAAAAAATTTTTGTTAGGCTTAACATCAATGAAAATTCAACGCGAAGTAGGTTAATAGCGATATACTAATATACTAATTACATGAGATATACTAATAATGTATTTTTTCATATTTTTTGGTTATCCGTTTTTTCAGTTATCTGACCAACCCCAGTCCCCAACTGAGTCGGATAATCGATGCTCTACTGTACTTTGATTTTTTAACCAAATGTTCGAACCGTTTTAAATTCGAATTTGTTATTGCATATTGGTTTATTTATAGAATGATTGTAAATGTTCCAGAAAATTGATCAAATTGAAAATAGTTTGTTTGATTCTCAGAGGTATATAACAATTACAACAGTTGTTGAAATACTGAATATAAATGGGGTTTGCTTGCAAAATCTGCAGGTGCAAAGTTGTGAGTAACAGCTAGTTATTATATACTTCAAAATTATAAACCAAAATTTTATGTATGAAAATATTTTTTGCATACCAGATATTTCAGATAGAGCAGATGCTTTCCACATTGCATCTTCAGCAGCAATTACTGGAGATGGTTGTAAGCTCTCAATCCTTTCTCTGAAGTGTTGATTCATTTCTCCCAGCAAAACAACCTGTTTTGACAGCCATTTTGCCTCCTCTTCTAATTTTTGACATCTATTTACTTGTCTGAATGCAGAATCTAACTCTAATTTTGTTTCTGTTAACTGACTGTAAACTTTTCTTAATTCCTAAAAATTACATAAAAAATTTTTCTAAAGTTATAAAATATCAAGCGAAACAAAACAGAATCTTTTTCTTACACATCGTAAAACTTCATTTTCTTGCTTCTGTTGGATTAATTGCTCATCTATTTTAGAATTTATTTCTTTTAAAGCTATATTATTGTGTGTCAATTCCCTAATATAAAACAAAATTATTCAATAAAGATTAATATTTTAGTTTAGTTTAGTGTATTCAAAGATTTTGTTAGAAATTTTCAAAAAAATGTTAATAAAAAAAGCAATCAACAATCACCTGAGTCTTTTATTTAGTTCTTCAAACTTTTGTTCTTTTGCATCTTGTTGTTTAAGATACAAATTGGACAATTTATTAATCTCATTTTCTAGATCTTGGATTTTTCTTTCTTGCAACTGAAGTTGGTCTTTCTTTACAAAAGTAAACATTCAGAATTTCTGTATTAACTGTACTATGTGAATTTATTAAAATTATAATTAAAAAGTTACCATTGCCCCATTTTGTTCTTCTAACATCCACGCTCTCTTGGCCTTTCCCAGGAGTCTTCTATTACGTTCAGCATGAATCTCTCTCTTGTTTCTTTCAAACAGTAATTGGTTATGTAATAATAAAACTTGTCCCCGTAAGATACGTAATACATCAGCTGGGGGTTGACCTTTTATATATGATAAATTAAAATCATCAATTTTTTAAAAATTTATTAAGACATTATACAACTTCTTACCTCCAAAATGTGTCCAATCAGTGCCAATGGTGCTCGTTAATGGGACATTTAGTTCTTTCATATAGACATCATTTCCTAATTGTAAATGACGATCTAATATTTCAGGAGGTGAAAGAGTAGTGTAGAAAGGTCTTTCTCCATAAAACTGCCTACCTTCTACCTGGCCCATCATAGTCTTAGGTTTCTGAATAAAAATATTTTCTGTATACTCTCTTACATACATAGGTTGGGAATAGCTTAGACCTTCTAAAGCAAAAGGAAACAAATGACTATAAGGAGGTGATGATATAGTAACTGTAGTATTTTCACAACTAGTTTGGCTAGAGGATTTAGTATTCTGTACAGGAATAAATGAATATGCATTTTTTTCTTCTATTTTAGTAATATTTTCAGATATATCATTTATAGGCTTACTTAAATATGAATTATCTGTTGTATTAAACAGAGTTGTATCTTGTACTGAATTTTTGTTGTGAATAAACTGAGTTACATTATCAATAGATTTCTTTAAATAAGGTTTGTCAATAACTTGAGATCCAATATTTTCTTGCTGTATTATATTATAAAAACTAGAGTTTTTACTACTATTTTCTTTTTTTCTAATTAGCTGCTGTAATTCTCGTATATCTGGACAGGAGAGAAATTTCTTTTTTGTTTGATGATTAAATTCAAATTCATTGAAAATTTCTATTGGTGGTGGGCCGTGATGACTGAGAAAGCGGAGACGATTGGCATTTCTAACAAATTTTTGCATATTTACACCATCTTTGACATTAGTTTCTACTTCCTCCTCTTGCGATTGGTTACTCAGGTGAGTATTATCTGAGGTGGATAATTCACAGGGAGTCTGGGGTTCATCTGTAAGTTTTTGAGTTGTACTGAAAAATGGGGTATCGTGGCCCACATCCTCATTGCATGATGGATATTGATATTTTGAATTTGACACTATTGCCAAAACTTCTTCATCGATAATTTCTGAAAATTAAAATTAAATATTTACTAATTTACTTACGAAGACAGAAATCTCACTAACTTAACATTTTAATATCAAGACAGAAATTAAAATAAGATACTTGCCTTCCTCTCTTGCTTCTTCTGCTTGACTAACATCAGGCAAACTGGATTTTGAACTATCTGCATTTGGTGTCAGCTGTTCTTCGGACTGACTATTATCCATAGAATTTATTTCTATATTCACATCAACTTCTTCGGAACTGCCAGTAATAGAGTTAACTGACACTAGAAAACAAAACAGAGAATAATTAAATGACAATTAAATTTTTTATCCTATTTTATAATAGTGATTACCATTTCCTTGATTTTTTCTAGATGAAGCTTCTAAAGAATCAATCATAGAAGCTTCCTAAAAATAAAATGCTTAAAATTATATATTAAAAACAACAAATTTAAATCAAATTTTAATAATATTTTACCTCTGGTTTGGCTTCTATGGCAACATCTAAAGGTGGACTTTCTCCTACTTTGGTTGCAGATGGCAGAGTGACTAGTCCTTCAAAGTTAAAAAAAAAAAATTCTAAAATCATTCAAAATTTGGAGAAAAAGATAATTGCAAGGAATTTCTCTGAAGAATATTTACAATAATTATATATTGCAGATTATGCCAACTGCTATAAAAATACCAATTAACAGATTATGCCAACAGCTAGAAAAATACCAATATTCTTTAAAGTTAGTTTATACATCACCAGCACATGTTGGTGATGTATAAGCTAACATTAAAGAATAAATTCAAAGATTAATTATGTAGATGTCTTCTATGTAAGGATTGTTGGTTTAATAAAATGGAGTTTGAGATATGTTTCCAACTTCTCTGCAGTAACTAAACAATTGGTTTAGTTAGATCAGCAATTCCCAACTTGTGTTCAATGTAACACTAGAGCCCTTCCAATAAAATTAGTTTTTGAGCTTTAATTAATCATTTATATTTTAATAAATTTTTCATTCATATTTTAAAGTTTCAAAAATTATTAATATTCTGTAGGAAAAAGAGATCTAAGCACAGGCACCGCTCAGCTCACATTTGTGAAAAATAAAATCCATTGAGTCTAATGGTCAAAGAATCAAATCATATATTTCATTCTTTCCCGAGTATTTTGATTTTTATATTTGAAAATTAAAGTATTCATTCTTATCAAAGGAACTGATACCTAAGGCTGGCAATACTTGAGTGTTCACTTAATGATTAAAAAAAATGCACGCATTCGATTGTCCCATTAGTTGAGATCCTACGCATCTGCAGATAGAATCCTTTAAAAACTTTTTATCAACTTGAAAAAAGTTCCATGATTGAAATAAGTTGAGAATTGCTGAGTTACATATATTTAAATAAAATTTTTAACTGCTTTATCTCATTCACATCAAAGAAGGATCAACATATTTTCTAACTCTCAACAAATTTAAGGCAGGATTTTGATGCTGAACTTGAATACACTGAAATCCATATAAGACTGTAATGCATTTAGAATTCATATGACTGAGATGAATTGTGATGTGTAAATGCATTTCATTCTAAACTGAATATTGTTTTGTTTCCTGTATAATCTAAATTTTATCTTATGAAATTGTTTATTTAAAATGCAATAGCTATGATCTACTATTTTATAAATTATTATTTTACATACGTAATTTAAAATAAATCATTAAATTAAGAAAGTAAAATTATAAAATAAAAATTTCTTTCTATAAATTAATTGATTAATTTTAATAATAAATCCAAACTTTATTAAAAATTCAGTTATAAAGAACCAAACAATTAACTCTCAAATTTTCTTATTACAATAAAGAAATTTATTTTAAATAAGAAAAAATAAATAAATAAAAAGTTTTGTTTTAATAAATTTTTAAAAATTAATTAAACAACAAAATTTATTTCTATTACTTTAAAACAACGATTTTCATTTTCTATATTCATACTTTAGGTTATAATTACTCTTCTTGTTTTAAAAACAAGTGAACAAAAGTATGTTAAATAGGAACCAAAACAATCTATATTTAGAGCTAATTTATTTTCAACTTCTGCTTCTCAGATGTGTTTGAGATAAAGAGAATAGAATAATTATTCTCTCACACTTAGTTTTATGTTACGTAATTACAAAAATAAATTTTGGAAACATCATCATTTTGGAAAATTTTATTAAAAATGATATTTTTAATAAAATTTTATCAAAAATGTCTTATATTTATTATTTTATAAATTAAGTTCAGGCAGCATAAAATAAAAAAAATATATATATTCTAAAACTGCTCTTCAGAATAAGCATTTTTAGTTCATCTTAGCACACACAGTCTTGGTGCCATCAATGATATAAACTTAATATTTATAGAAATTAGTAGATAATTTTTTTAATATAAATTTGCTATAGAAATTCATAAAATACTGTTTTAAGATTAATTATTCATACTAAATTTTAGGATTGATTAAAAATTAAAATTTTTATGAAGAAAACTTTCTATGGAGGTGAATAGTTATAGGATATGTTCATAAAGTCAAATGACTTAAACGAAAATAACATCATTTTCTTATTTTGTTACACTTTGTGAACGATTCATTTATAACTAAATGGCTGTTTCTAAAATCGAAGATATGAATGTTGCTAAAGCAGCCTTATCCAAAATATTTTTCTTAGATTGCTAAGGGTGGACAGTTATTCCTATCATTTCACCTTTTAATTCACAGTTTAAACACTCGAGTAGATTTAGAAACATCAATATTGTTGGCCGCCATTTTCTTAATGAAGTGAACTAACTTTTCCTTTCTAACAAAGTTTACAAAGGAAGAGTTAGTTCACTTCATTAAGAAACATCATCACTGCAGAGTATTCTGACTGAGCAAGACTACTACTTTTAGAATGATTCATTACTAACACGTTTAACTTTAAGCACACTTTTCATAATTGCTTTTTTCCACTGTTTGCAGGATAGTGCTTTCCTGGATTTCAGAAATTAGTCATAGTGTGGAATACTGCCTTTTCCAAGAAACTTCACATTTTATTTCTTGATAATATTAAAAATCTTTGCTATTTTTGAGTTAAAATGTCATATGTTACCAATCATCTAGAAGAGTTATTTACTAAACAATAAAATTAAATCAATATACTCCTATTATTTTGTAACTAATAGCTATCAAGCAATTTCCTATGGGAAGATACTGAATAACTGTTCAATTCCCATTATTTATGGTTATAAATAATAAATGATTTAGTCATAATCAAAGTTAAATTCTGCCATTTCTATGTGTAAAAATTATGAACAAAAGATGAGAGAGTTTTAAATAATAGGCAGAAAACTTAACTGATAAGGTTTTTCTATAATCAAAGCTTATTACCTAGATTTGGATTAAATGAGATTAGATTTGGAAACTTCCTCACACCAACTAAGGATCAAAAAAGTACTATTGCATTTCTTAAATGTTTAAAAATCATTTCATATTTTCCAGAATATGTTTTTGATTGATTATGCAAAGTTAAGTGCAATAAAAGTGATTTATGATGTTAAAATATGTGTACAGTACTTATTTTAACACAGGATATAGAGTAAAATATTTAACTAACATCATGTTAAAAATTAGCATGCATAGTAAAATATTGCAATCAATACATTAAAAATTTTTATTCAAATGCAACAATGAAACTTTATTCACAAAAATATACTGTTGTGTTTTTCAAAATTATAATAAATTAAAAATTAGGTAATTTCATAATTTTTATCCCACTTGACTGTATGAAATCAAAATTTATTTATTTTTTTATATCTTCATATATTTTGTTAATTAAAAATTTCTGAACATAAAACTGAATATAAATTTCAAAGTTCTTTTTTATTACCTGAATCAGGTTGTGTACTAGTTGTAGAAGTTTCTGAAGGACTTAATTTATTAGAGGGAGATACATCTAAATCACAAACTGTAGAAGGACTCCATATGTAACCATGCTCTTTTGTTTGACATTTTGTTAAAGCTTCATTAACTACTGAAGTAGGACTAGCAGGAGTAAATGGCAGAGAAGTGGATTCTAAAAGTTAAAGAAATATTCATTTCAATATTTAATGTTTCAGAAGTTTTTAAAAGATTCTGTTATGTCTAAACAAAGTAAAGTAAATGAATATAAATATAAAAGACAATTTATAAAAATCTCAAACATTTAATTTATTTGATTCAATATAAATAAAAGAATCATGTTATTAAAAACAAGTAAAATAGCAAAACCATATTTGGGACGAGACTATGTCTCAGAGACGGAATCACTTTGATGCTCAAGGCAGTTCTTGTTCTCATTCTCCTATCTTCTTTGATATCGCTGCTTTTGAGCGCAATCGTTCAAACTTCACCGGCCACGACCACAAGACTGTCCATGATGCATCTTTGATGAAATTAACCTATCTAATTTTTCAAAATTTCTCTCCGTTGCGTGTCGACCCAGATTGAATTTTTGTTGATGTGTAACGAAAAGTTCCCGTTTTTGAAAAAATAATTGTGGCTATTATAGCCTCCGAAATTATTTTTTTATTTTGCACAAACAATATACAGTTTAACCCGATTATAACGTCATCGAATGTAATGACAATCCTAATATAACGTCAAATTTTTATCGTTCCTACGATTTTACTATACTAGATAATATTAAAAAACCTACTTGTAATGGCATAAAACTGTTTTAACGTCATATTTGAAGCACTCCCAAATTTACAAAATTAAATTACAAATTTTATTTAGCATAGAAGAAACTACGTGTTCAGTCCTAAGGTCAGAGTTCACTTCTAAGTATGACTGTGGGTGGTACGCTCCCCTACCTGACTGCGGTGGGGTGAGGTGGCTGTTTTGCCTGTTTGTAGAAGAGGGTCACCATTTCGTATTTTATTTTGACTCGATTCTCAGTTCCCTGACTACCTACGAGTCTGGATTTTTTATGTGCAAATGATTTGGGCACCTAATACTCTGTGCCAAATATCAACTCTAGACATGTACTCCTTCATACCTCTATGATGGTAAGAACATTGGGCAGTACGATTTTATAAACAAGACAGTCTTGTCAAAAATGAAAGACAAATTTATCTAAATTTAATAAAAGCATACATACCTCTATGGACATTTGAAGCTGAAAAGCCATGTTTACCACCCATAATTTGACATGGCTTTGGTAATTGGCATTGGGGTACTTCTTCGCATGCTCCTTCAATTAAATCTAAAGAAACTTTTGCACATTCTACTAATATGTCATGTATTTCCATTTTTTTCCATCTATAAATATAATCTTAACATCTATAAAAATGTCAATAGATATTTAACAATTTAGATGTTATATTGAAATATTATTTACCTTGTTGTTGTCAGCTCTGTTTCTTTTGATGCTGTTACTAATAATGGATGTAATCTTACTCGTTCTAACATTGGCTGAAAAATTTGAATATACAATTAATTCAAAATGATACATAATATAATAATAAAATGTATGAATGTCAAAATATTAAATAATTCAAAAGTTTTTATTAAATTCTATTCTATTTATGAAACTTTGGGTATATGATGATGAAGTTCTCTTATACAGAAAAAATCAAAACATGATTTTGGTATGTGGTTGTCTTATATCACATCACTTTAAAATTTGATCATATAAAATCACAGTTTATTGACTATGATGTCACAATTTTTATTTTGTCATTAATCACACAGTCTTATATGATTACTAACAGAAATAATAAGCATTTTCCTGTAAAAATATTCTTCTCAAAAATTTAATTTACTACAATTTTCACTTAAAAAACAGCTGAAATCTGCAAATTTATCTTTTATAATCTCATGGAATGATTATAGAAATGACCATGATATTATTTAATATAAAGAACTAAACTGTTAGTATTCGTAAAAATTTAATTGAGAATGAATAATCAGAATTTTAAAAAGTATTTTATAAAATTGTATAAAAATGTGTGATAAGTTTGATAATTTTTTATAAGATTATTTAATATTTTTGATAATTTCATTTCTTCATTTTATTCTTAAGCTTGAATTCATAATATGCATTTTATTTCTGTATGTTTTTAGATGTTCTAGAATGGAACACTGAAACTTTACCTAACAATGAAACATATTTGGCAACCTGCATATAAATTATAGGAATTATCCCTTTTGTTTGTATATATGAAATAAACAAAACATTTGTGACTTTCTTATCTATGACTTATGCAAACTTTGGCCCACCCAATTGAAAGTTTTCAAAAGTTTGGACACCACTTAGGCCATAATTAAAGTTTCTGATTTATGATTACAAAATGTTTTGATTTTTAAAGCAAAAATTTTTTATTTTGTTTTCAAATGAAAAAGTAAATCTACATCAAGAGATGAGGAATAAAATAATGTGTAAAAGTATATTTAAAATGATAACTTTTTTTTTAACTGCATGTATTTCTAATATATCAAAATTATTAATGAATATAACCACACACCTTAATAGTTTCAGTGAAGACGTGAAAACTTTCTTGATTTTGATCACGACGGCCATAATAGGAACGCAAGTAAGCGAGAAAATTACAAGGATACATGGCATACAGACGGTGAAATAATGCGTAAACACTAACTTGAAGATGTAGAATAAAAATTTCAGGTATATTGCCTAAAAAATGTAAATTACAGATACTTAATGCTAATTACAATCTGTAATAACATTAATTAAATAAACTAGGTTTACTTACCAGGTTTTTTTGTACTCCAAGATGCTAAGTGTGAGAATGATTCGAAAATTTCTTGAAGGTGAGAACCAATAAGTGAAGGTATTGCAGGTAATAATGTAACAATAATAAGAACAGCACTCACTAAGTTTGTTACGGAAGTATCTGTCTGTAAAGTTATTTAAAATTTAATAATGGTATTATTATTATTATTATTAAAAATTTAGCGTAAATTGAAATTTACCTTGAGAATATTAATTAAATTGTGCATTATACGATGTTGAGTGATTTTATGTAACCAAGAAGGATGTCTACGAACAATATATCCCAAGAGAGTAAGAGCAGGATACCTTGAATTACCTTTTAAACAGTCTGCCAGCTTATCAAACAAATGCTTTGGAAGAAAATATATTATTTCAAAACAGAAAATTGGTATTTTCTTGTTCTCTCTTTTTTAAATGTAATAAGAAAATTATATTTAAGAAAAATAATCACACTTACCTTATCATGTGGTTCTCTAACACCCACAATGATTTCTAAACACCGCTGTGATTGCGTAGCTAAAAAGTAATCTACTAGGCCATGTAACAACCATGCTTCTTTAGCTAAATAAAATTATAAAATAGTTCTTTATTAATCAAATAAATTTTGTTTCTGCATCAAAAAATTAAAAATCTTACTGTTATTCAGTTGTTCATGTATTAACATTTTAATTTCTTCCACCACATGATTGTCATTTGTCTCCAGTAAAGAGAGCAACTCCACAACTTCTATATGGTGAGTTCCACTCTTTGTTTGCTCTTTCTTCTCTCCCCGATGATACATAATGAGTTACTTTAATAACAGCACCAATCGTCACATCCCTTGAATCCTTAACTAAATTAAGAAAAAGATAAATTTACCAAGTTTTCAAATATCTTAGTTTTGTAATGATAAAATTAAGTAAATTGATTAATATTTAGAAATTGATTTAGTTACAATAATATTCTACAACTTCCACATTTTTATGTTATTTTATGCAAACAATTTATTCTATTTTAATAGGATTCATTGTATAAACTTTTTCCAAATTTGCTAACATTTAATTCAGTAGTTTTGTGTGATTCCATTTTGTTTAAAACAAAAAATAATAGCAGGTATTAACATAACAGAGAAAAGATGAAATTACTTTTAACTGAATTCTAAATATATAAAATCACAATATATACATGCTAATCCTCCATAATATTCATTAAATGTTAAAAATTAATAATAGAAAAAAAAAACAAGAACTTTACTTGCAACATAAAAATAATCTATGCAAATTCTTGCTTCTATCAAATTTATTATACAAGATGTTCACTTCAACTTTTATCCAGATGCAAAAGAGATCTTTCCAGTGTACTGCACAAGTATATGCATAAAGTACATTGGTTTCACTGTAATGTTTACAGTGAAAAAAATTAATTCATTTAAGAAAAAGACACATGTAAACTGCATGGCAGTTCCATGGCAATACAAAAATTTTTGATCATAAGAACAAAATGCAATAAATAATTTGTGTTTGAATTAAAACAAAATGCAAATTAAAAATGAAACCTTGAGCATGTTTTGACCTGCTACCAATGGATTTATAAAAATGCCATCATCATACAGCTGCAACTTGATAAGGCATTACTATAATGCTTTATATTCGTAAACATTCCTTTAAAATTATACTTTCACAATTGCATGAGCAATACAATACTTGTGCAATGCTAAAAAGATCTCTTTTGCAAATAGATAAATGTTAAAATGAACAAATGCATATTGTGTGTGTTAGATTATTAATACACAGTACATAACATAAAAATATTTATGACATTCTAAACTTAAATCAAACATCAACAAAGATAAAAACATTCAATTATTATTATTCATCCACAGATTTTATTATAAAAACAATCCTTAAGTTCTGTACTTTATATAATCAAATGATAAAAACCGGATACTATCAGGATAGAACTTGGCTAATTAATTACATAGAAATTATAACATGTATCTTGAATCTGACTAAAGGGAAGAATTTGTAAAATTATTTTATTTGGGTGTTGATTAAGTATAATTAGTAGTGTTGTGCCGAATAGTATTTTCGGCCTCAGACCGAATAGCTGAATATTCGGCCAAACTATTCAGCTTGATTAATGCATGTATGAAAATTGGCTTGCAAACCACATTATGGCAAGGACCCTGCTCTCTATTGGCCCACTGTCACTACGCTTCGCCAATCGCATTAATTCTTGACAGTTCAGACAAGAGCATCATGTGATAAGTGATGATATCAAATGTGGATAACAATGAAATGACCTACAGGTGTAAATAACAGAAGAAGAACGGAGAAGGACCGCAAAGTGAAAGTAAATATGAAATTGAGTTGATAACATAATCGAACAAGTTGATTATGTTATCAACTCAATAAGCTGCCTCAACTTGTTCGAGGCAGCTTATTGGCATGAAATTTGCAGCCATGAATGCCAAACAATTATTGTCATAGACTTCGAAAAGCTAAATGCTTGTAATGAAAGTCACTTAGCGTGCATGGGCGAAAGCCTGGGGTTGTTCGGGCTACCAAGCTGTTTCGAATCTGTGAAATCATAACTGTGACTTATACCGATCTCCTATCTGTCTCTTTTCTCCGTTATCATCAGGCTATGAGTCACATAATTGTAAAATGGGAAATCTATGATGGAAAAGTGACAAATCGAAAGTATTGTGAGGGTGTATTATGATGTATGCATAGGCATATGTGGACTAGAGCGATAGAGGAAAGAGAAAGGGAAGAGCAAAGACAAGTGCTTAAAAAGAAGGATAGGCAGGGTCAGACCCTCACATGTGCGATGATTCTTGAACGAATAGGTTGTACGTGTGCTGATCTTTGTAATTATAAATTGTGAATACAAGTGACTAATATTATGTTCTTTTTTTATTTTGTGCACGTTATAAGTTATAAATAAATATAAACAAACAACACTAACCCGATAACATTAAATCTAAATACCAAAATGATTAATTTAAGGTGTTTTTGTTATTTCTTACTCCTGTTTTTAGGTATTCAGTATTCGGCCGAATAGCGAAAAATAGGCTGAATATCGAATAGTAACCGAACATTCGTTACATCACTAATAATTAGTCTTCATTTTGCTTCTAACTACATAAATAGAAATAGACATAACAAACAATGGATATAAAAGAAAATTGTTTTCATTAAAAAAAATAATAATGTTGAATTTTGTTTGATCACACATTTTGAATTTATTAAACATGATTTTATTACGTTGGACATACACTGACTGCTCTGTATTCAAATATATTATAAAACTTCAAACGAAAGTTGCATCTAATCATTTTTAGATATTAATTTTATCTACTCAATCAATATATTCATTATTTAGTTTTTTAATTTTTACAATTTTAATTTATTAATTTTTCTTGTAAATCTTGGTTTTTCAAATGAATACAAACTTATATTGAATTAATTTTATTATAACGAAATACTATAAACTGTTAATATAAAAATGAGCAATTACTTGTTGTATTGTCACAATGATAGGCTGTACTTTTTAATCATATTTTAACTTTCCTTATCTGGTCTTGATTTTCATCTATCTAACTTTGTTCTCAAGATTAATAAAGGATAGACGACAGTGGGAATGTATAGATCTGCAACTTCAAAATTTCAGCTCAATAAACATTGCTTACATATACAAGAAAAAATCATAATGTACTGTACTATGATCAGAAAGACTATTTCTCTCATTATAACAGATGCTTGAAACTTTGAATATATTAGCAGACCTAAAAACTGCATTTTTGCATACTATTTTGATAATTTAACCTAATTAAGCTTTAAAGGTCAAAATGATTATAACTTTAAAATTTCAGATGGTAATCTTTATCTTATGGCTGTTTTAAGGCATTTTCAATACTGAATCAAACAGTGCAATCAGGTTTGAAATCAAGCAAGGCATTCAGAAATTATAAACAAAAATCCTCAACTACTAGATTCTATTGAAAGTGTAAATAATGAAATGTTTTTATTGAAAATTTTCTCTAAAATAATAAGATAGTTCAGAGAAACATTGGAAATCATCTTTAATAATCATGAATCTCACTGAGTTTTATAACAAGATTCATTTTGTTTGACAATGATTCATATTCAAAAAAACTCCTAAAATAGTGTTTAGATTTAATCTCATGTAAACAACTTTATTACAATTGACCTTGTTTATTATTTTCATTCTGCAAACTTCTTGCAATATTTTTATAGCTAAACCTATGATCTGACAAATATATCCAGGAGTAGCAAATGTAAATTATTATGTACTGTATTACCATGTTTCATATAATAATTTATTCAAATTATATTTTATAATTTGAATAAATTCTTTAGAAATTAAGTTTCCTTCTAAGACACTCAATCATCATTAACTTATACAGTCCAGCAACATTATAACAACTATAACAGATAAATTCTTTATATCAACAGTTTAATTGCAGGCACATTGCCTGGTAAAGCAACTCTAATAGACCTGGATTGTCTATTTTCATTTGAAACGGGTTATGTCATTGCTTACTTATCCAGCTGTATTAAAGCCACTTTACCAGGCAACTCACCCTGTCTGTTATGGTTACTACATTTCTACCCTTCAACACCTTCAACATTTATTGCATTCTTTTACACTATATAACTAAATTACAATTGTGCATATATTCTATAGGTTCCTGCTAAGAATAAAATATACAGCAGAACCCCTCTAATCCGTCACCTTTGGGACTGGGGGTATGGTTGGAATGCAANGCAGATGGCAAAGAGACTAGCCCTGAATCAGGTTGTGTACTAGTTGTAGAAGTTTCTAAAGGACTTAATTTATTAGAGGGAGATACATCTAAATCTAGAGCCCTTCCAATAAAATTAGTTTTTGAGCTTTAATTAATCATTTATATTTTAATAAATTTTTCATTCATATTTTAAAGTTTCAAAAATTATTAATATTCTGTAGGAAAAAGAGATCTAAGCACAGGCACCGCTCAGCTCACATTTGTGAAAAATAAAATCCATTGAGTCTAATGGTCAAAGAATCAAATCATATATTTCATTCTTTCCCGAGTATTTTGATTTTTATATTTGAAAATTAAAGTATTCATTCTTATCAAAGGAACTGATACCTAAGGCTGGCAATACTTGAGTGTTCACTTAATGATTAAAAAAAATGCACGCATTCGATTGTCCCATTAGTTGAGATCCTACGCATCTGCAGATAGAATCCTTTAAAAACTTTTTATCAACTTGAAAAAAGTTCCATGATTGAAATAAGTTGAGAATTGCTGAGTTACATATATTTAAATAAAATTTTTAACTGCTTTATCTCATTCACATCAAAGAAGGATCAACATATTTTCTAACTCTCAACAAATTTAAGGCAGGATTTTGATGCTGAACTTGAATACACTGAAATCCATATAAGACTGTAATGCATTTAGAATTCATATGACTGAGATGAATTGTGATGTGTAAATGCATTTCATTCTAAACTGAATATTGTTTTGTTTCCTGTATAATCTAAATTTTATCTTATGAAATTGTTTATTTAAAATGCAATAGCTATGATCTACTATTTTATAAATTATTATTTTACATACGTAATTTAAAATAAATCATTAAATTAAGAAAGTAAAATTATAAAATAAAAATTTCTTTCTATAAATTAATTGATTAATTTTAATAATAAATCCAAACTTTATTAAAAATTCAGTTATAAAGAACCAAACAATTAACTCTCAAATTTTCTTATTACAATAAAGAAATTTATTTTAAATAAGAAAAAATAAATAAATAAAAAGTTTTGTTTTAATAAATTTTTAAAAATTAATTAAACAACAAAATTTATTTCTATTACTTTAAAACAACGATTTTCATTTTCTATATTCATACTTTAGGTTATAATTACTCTTCTTGTTTTAAAAACAAGTGAACAAAAGTATGTTAAATAGGAACCAAAACAATCTATATTTAGAGCTAATTTATTTTCAACTTCTGCTTCTCAGATGTGTTTGAGATAAAGAGAATAGAATAATTATTCTCTCACACTTAGTTTTATGTTACGTAATTACAAAAATAAATTTTGGAAACATCATCATTTTGGAAAATTTTATTAAAAATGATATTTTTAATAAAATTTTATCAAAAATGTCTTATATTTATTATTTTATAAATTAAGTTCAGGCAGCATAAAATAAAAAAAATATATATATTCTAAAACTGCTCTTCAGAATAAGCATTTTTAGTTCATCTTAGCACACACAGTCTTGGTGCCATCAATGATATAAACTTAATATTTATAGAAATTAGTAGATAATTTTTTTAATATAAATTTGCTATAGAAATTCATAAAATACTGTTTTAAGATTAATTATTCATACTAAATTTTAGGATTGATTAAAAATTAAAATTTTTATGAAGAAAACTTTCTATGGAGGTGAATAGTTATAGGATATGTTCATAAAGTCAAATGACTTAAACGAAAATAACATCATTTTCTTATTTTGTTACACTTTGTGAACGATTCATTTATAACTAAATGGCTGTTTCTAAAATCGAAGATATGAATGTTGCTAAAGCAGCCTTATCCAAAATATTTTTCTTAGATTGCTAAGGGTGGACAGTTATTCCTATCATTTCACCTTTTAATTCACAGTTTAAACACTCGAGTAGATTTAGAAACATCAATATTGTTGGCCGCCATTTTCTTAATGAAGTGAACTAACTTTTCCTTTCTAACAAAGTTTACAAAGGAAGAGTTAGTTCACTTCATTAAGAAACATCATCACTGCAGAGTATTCTGACTGAGCAAGACTACTACTTTTAGAATGATTCATTACTAACACGTTTAACTTTAAGCACACTTTTCATAATTGCTTTTTTCCACTGTTTGCAGGATAGTGCTTTCCTGGATTTCAGAAATTAGTCATAGTGTGGAATACTGCCTTTTCCAAGAAACTTCACATTTTATTTCTTGATAATATTAAAAATCTTTGCTATTTTTGAGTTAAAATGTCATATGTTACCAATCATCTAGAAGAGTTATTTACTAAACAATAAAATTAAATCAATATACTCCTATTATTTTGTAACTAATAGCTATCAAGCAATTTCCTATGGGAAGATACTGAATAACTGTTCAATTCCCATTATTTATGGTTATAAATAATAAATGATTTAGTCATAATCAAAGTTAAATTCTGCCATTTCTATGTGTAAAAATTATGAACAAAAGATGAGAGAGTTTTAAATAATAGGCAGAAAACTTAACTGATAAGGTTTTTCTATAATCAAAGCTTATTACCTAGATTTGGATTAAATGAGATTAGATTTGGAAACTTCCTCACACCAACTAAGGATCAAAAAAGTACTATTGCATTTCTTAAATGTTTAAAAATCATTTCATATTTTCCAGAATATGTTTTTGATTGATTATGCAAAGTTAAGTGCAATAAAAGTGATTTATGATGTTAAAATATGTGTACAGTACTTATTTTAACACAGGATATAGAGTAAAATATTTAACTAACATCATGTTAAAAATTAGCATGCATAGTAAAATATTGCAATCAATACATTAAAAATTTTTATTCAAATGCAACAATGAAACTTTATTCACAAAAATATACTGTTGTGTTTTTCAAAATTATAATAAATTAAAAATTAGGTAATTTCATAATTTTTATCCCACTTGACTGTATGAAATCAAAATTTATTTATTTTTTTATATCTTCATATATTTTGTTAATTAAAAATTTCTGAACATAAAACTGAATATAAATTTCAAAGTTCTTTTTTATTACCTGAATCAGGTTGTGTACTAGTTGTAGAAGTTTCTGAAGGACTTAATTTATTAGAGGGAGATACATCTAAATCACAAACTGTAGAAGGACTCCATATGTAACCATGCTCTTTTGTTTGACATTTTGTTAAAGCTTCATTAACTACTGAAGTAGGACTAGCAGGAGTAAATGGCAGAGAAGTGGATTCTAAAAGTTAAAGAAATATTCATTTCAATATTTAATGTTTCAGAAGTTTTTAAAAGATTCTGTTATGTCTAAACAAAGTAAAGTAAATGAATATAAATATAAAAGACAATTTATAAAAATCTCAAACATTTAATTTATTTGATTCAATATAAATAAAAGAATCATGTTATTAAAAACAAGTAAAATAGCAAAACCATATTTGGGACGAGACTATGTCTCAGAGACGGAATCACTTTGATGCTCAAGGCAGTTCTTGTTCTCATTCTCCTATCTTCTTTGATATCGCTGCTTTTGAGCGCAATCGTTCAAACTTCACCGGCCACGACCACAAGACTGTCCATGATGCATCTTTGATGAAATTAACCTATCTAATTTTTCAAAATTTCTCTCCGTTGCGTGTCGACCCAGATTGAATTTTTGTTGATGTGTAACGAAAAGTTCCCGTTTTTGAAAAAATAATTGTGGCTATTATAGCCTCCGAAATTATTTTTTTATTTTGCACAAACAATATACAGTTTAACCCGATTATAACGTCATCGAATGTAATGACAATCCTAATATAACGTCAAATTTTTATCGTTCCTACGATTTTACTATACTAGATAATATTAAAAAACCTACTTGTAATGGCATAAAACTGTTTTAACGTCATATTTGAAGCACTCCCAAATTTACAAAATTAAATTACAAATTTTATTTAGCATAGAAGAAACTACGTGTTCAGTCCTAAGGTCAGAGTTCACTTCTAAGTATGACTGTGGGTGGTACGCTCCCCTACCTGACTGCGGTGGGGTGAGGTGGCTGTTTTGCCTGTTTGTAGAAGAGGGTCACCATTTCGTATTTTATTTTGACTCGATTCTCAGTTCCCTGACTACCTACGAGTCTGGATTTTTTATGTGCAAATGATTTGGGCACCTAATACTCTGTGCCAAATATCAACTCTAGACATGTAATCCTTCATACCTCTATGATGGTAAGAACATTGGGCAGTACGATTTTATAAACAAGACAGTCTTGTCAAAAATGAAAGACAAATTTATCTAAATTTAATAAAAGCATACATACCTCTATGGACATTTGAAGCTGAAAAGCCATGTTTACCACCCATAATTTGACATGGCTTTGGTAATTGGCATTGGGGTACTTCTTCGCATGCTCCTTCAATTAAATCTAAAGAAACTTTTGCACATTCTACTAATATGTCATGTAATATCCATTTTTTTCCATCTCGTTGTTGTCAGCTCTGTTTCTTTTGATGCTGTTACTAATAATGGATGTAATCTTACTCGTTCTAACATTGGCTTAATAGTTTCAGCGAAGACGTGAAAACTTTCTTGATTTTGATCACGACGGCCATAATAGGAACTCAAGTAAGCGAGAAAATTACAAGGATACATGGCATACAGACGGTGAAATAATGCGTAAACACTAACTTGAAGATGTAGAATAAAAATTTCAGGTATATTGCCAGGTTTTTTTGTACTCCAAGATGCTAAGTGTGAGAATGATTCGAAAATTTCTTGAAGGTGAGAACCAATAAGTGAAGGTATTACAGGTAATAATGTGACAATAATAAGAACAGCACTCACTAAGTTTGTTATGGTAGTATCTGTCTTGAGAATATTAATTAAATTGTGCATTATATGATGTTGAGTGATTTTATGTAACCAAGAAGGATGTCTACAAACAATATATCCCAAGAGAGTAAGAGCATCATACCTTGAATTACCTTTTAAACAGTCTGCCAGCTTATCAAACAAATGCTTATCATGTGGTTCTCTAACACCCACAATAATTTCTAAACACTGCTGTGATTGCATAGCTAAAAAGTAATCTACTAGGCCATGTAACAACCATGCTTCTTTAGTGTTATTCAGTTGTTCATGTATCAACATTTTAATTTCTTCCACCACATGATTGTCATTTGTCTCCAGTAAAGAGAGCAACTCCACAACTTCTATATGATGAGTTCCGCTCTTTGCTTGCTCTTTCTTCTCTCCCCGATGATACATAATGAAAGTTATTTTAATAACTGCACCAATTGTCACATCCCTTGAATCCTTAACTTCCCGTCAATCAGATGATCCTTGTCTAATCCTTGAGCGGATTGTTTTCTCTCTGACGTAGTCTAACTCCGACTTTAGTCTAACTCCGTTCTAGAGATTACAGATATATAAATTCAGTCTGTCTACAAATTTTTGAAAATTGCAACCCAATTGGTAGGGATCGCAAAATGTTTGTGATAATTGTGTGACAGTTTAAAGCTTTGTCCCGTGTCTTCTACGGTATAAAATGCAAATTAATTTTTTGGTTTTCAAATGAATATTTCTATAATACAGTACATGGTTACTTACTCCCATTTAGCTTTTGATTATTCGAAATGAATCTCTGATGTCCTAAAATGTCATTATTTGATTGGTGTTTGCAATTAGAAATTGGGAGAGGAGGCCAGCTTAGCCTCAAAAACCATTGTATCTTAGCAAACTTGCGGACTTCCACGCCATTTAGCATTTTATTACTTATTTTAGAAATTCTGTTTTATATAGAATACATTCCAACATTTTAAAAGATAAGAAAAAGAAAAGCAATATCTCTCAAAGACACTCTAATAAAAAAATTCTCACAATCAGATTTATTTGGAAAATATTTTTAAAAATAAAAATGGTCTTCGATTATGATAAATATCACAAAATGCAATTAGAAACATCATTAGAATCTTGTCTTTCCCTTAATGAGTATATATGACAATCACAAAAATAATCCTAATAAGAAAAACTAGTGAATGTCCCTTTTAAATAATTTGGTAATTACAATTTTAATTTTATTATTAATTTAATAATAAGTAGTAAGAATTTCTTTAAGAGAAAACATTTATGGGAAAAAAAAGGAATTTAATTAATATTTAAAGTTAAATGACTAATTATTGTAATTAAATTACAGCATAAATGTTTTAATTATTTAATGCATTAATATTAAATTATATTTTATGTACATTATCAATTGGTGTATGTTCAATGCCCAAAATATAATTTGCAAATGAGTAAGCAAGGCTTCCAGTAGTAGTGGATAAAATGGTCTTATCCAGTTCAATATACAAAAAAGTAAATGTGTGACCATTTCAATTTAAATTTTCACAAGAAAAAATAGGTCATTTTGAATTTATTTTTAATTAATTAAATTATTTTTGTAAGGAAACTCCTCTAATGTAAAATCTTATCCAAATTGCTTTTCTAGAGTAAATCTTTTCAAAAATTCTCCTGTTTTTGGAGTTAAACGTTATCCAGTGAATCAACTGGAGAAAAAGTTTTGTCTGAAATCAACTGGAGAAACAAGTGTATGTATACTCCAGAAGTGTAAAGTTTTTGAAAATTTTTTGCTCCAAGAAAAAATAATTTAGGTTAGATTTTAAATTTTGTTTACATGCTTGGTAATTCTAACTACCATACTACTGAATTTATAATCAAATATTTCTAGAATAATTGTTAACTGTATCAAATTTTGTATTTAAGGTATTTAATGCTGAATGTTTTCAAGTGTCATTCAAAATCAACTTTATAATTCTGTTGTGATCATTAATTTTTTTAAATTTTCTATTTATAACTTTTGCTCCAATACGTAGACACTTATTTTTGAAATCTTATGACCTAAAATTTTATTGGATTTAACTATTATAGAGAGGAATTTTAAATTTGAGTTTAGAAAATTTCTAAAACATGCTAAATTTCCAAAATGATCAAATTAACTCAAATTTTTGATCATTTTCCTGTAAAGTACAAGAGAAATCTTACAGCCAGAAAATAGTCATTTGTATACCATAACATTATTACATATTTGAAAAAATCAATTTATAATCAACTTAGAGTAGAAGACTGATAACCTATTAAAAATCTTTTTTTGATAAGATTTCCTTCCTTTAATATCAATAAAAAGGATCATTTGCAGCACCACAAATTTAAATCAATGCTCTTAAACAACGGTGGGCAACCCCCGGCCCGCGAAGAGTTTCTATCCGGCCCGCGAGATGTTTAGAAGAAATTATAAATAAATATTTTTCGATGTAATTCGTCTAGTTTAAATTGAATATTATTTTCTGAAGTGTTGCGGCAGCAATGACGGGAAAAAATAAGGGAGTCATTTC